TTGTCGACCAAAATTTAATGTGTTTTTGATAAACTTTAAAATTTAAAATTGCATAGATCACTGCTTTGAAAACTCGACTGGACCACAGCATATTTGTGCGTAACAATCTAGAAATAAAGTTACATGAAGCATCAGAGCATATTGATGATTTGAAAGAAGAATTTCATTTAACATCTACCAATTACGAGACTCAACTCAGAGCAATGACCGAACATTTGGCTAGTTTAAATGAGACCGTTGTGTTAGAGCGGCGGCATATAGATGATCTTAACAGTCAGTTGAAAATAAAAGCAGTGAGTTAAATTAAAAATCATTTAATCATTGGTGTAATTGTAAGGGTTTTGAGACTTACATACTAGCAATTTATGATGAAAATTTGATTTGATGCAAATTTGTTTCATAATTCTGAATTTAAAATGTAAATAAATACTTATTGCATATTTTGTATGTATAAGCTTCTGAACTTGATGTATTGATTTAAAATGTGCTTTTTTTGTATGTCATTACCTCTTGAAACAGTAAAAATGCTTCAATTTTCTATTTAAGCATCTTTAATGTTTGAAAAGTGAATTTAGTTGGAAATTGGGAGGGTCAAAATCCAAGTAATTTTCTAAWGCTTATGGGRAAAAAACAGAGGATTTGATAAAATTTAATTTATTTTTCTGGTGTAACTGAAAAAAGAATGATTGTAGATACTTACAATTGTATTTATAACCATTGTCCATGTATGAGAATTTTTTTATTCAGTAAAAAAAACTTGAATTAATACAAGGTTCTTCATAAGTTGTCATCAGTGTAATTAAAAACAAATTTATATTATTGTAAGTAAATCCAAATTAAACTCATTCATTACTGTGACCTAATCAAAAAACATTTTTTTCATGAACCACTTTAAAACCATTACATTATTCATTAGTCTATTAATCGATTAGTAATTGAGAACATGGGCAATAATTCTTGGAGTATTTACTACTAAAATATTTCAACTTGTAAATGAGAAAAAAATTGTAAAATCAAACTAAAATCTTGATAATTTTGAGTAAAATAATAGTTTTATTGTACAGTGGCATATTTATGATTTTGTTCTGGGGGGAGGGGGATATAATTTATTGGATTTGTTTAATACTGTGATAAGGGGTAGATATAATTTGAAAGCATAGATACGGAGGTGATGGATTATATCCATGATTACAATTTATAACATAATATGTSCAATCTTATATAAAGTATAAGTCAATACATTAAACATTAAAAAAAAAAAAACTCTTGGAGGGATGTATTCCCATCGCCCTCTTAACTTATTTCAACAACCAGACTAAACAGTTTTATCAACAATTTTATAAAATTACATTTAAATAAATAAATACGTTTTTTCAGGGAAAAAAGAAGTCTTCCAAGTGAACATAACATCATCAGTATTAAGTATTTATTTATATTAACCATTTAATCTTACAAAATATTATATAATAATCTATTGATAGTTTTTTACGCTATTTATTTATTCTCTTACCATAGTATATTGTAATAATATTTTGTATAAATGATTATTTGAATTGTATTTATCAAAACCTTACCTATCAATGTTAACATATTGTGATATATCAGTAATTTCAA